AGAGAGAGAGAAACTGGGCCTGACTTAGGCCTTTGAAACCTCAAAGCCTACCCCCAGTGACACTTCCAACAACAAAGATACAAAGACACACCTACTCCAACAAGGCCACACCCCCTTTTACTGCACTCCAACTCCTAAATGTCCACGGGACCTTCCAGGATCACCACACCCCCACCCCTTGCAGGACCAAACATTTAGATGAGGACTTGTGGGGGAAACACCAGGCCATAGAAGGGCAACAGGAGCAGGAGTGTGGACCTGCGGGCACCGCAGGGTGAAATGTTGAAACCAGGCACACTTCGGAAAATGGTCTGAAGAGATGACATGAGATAGGACAGCTGGGCAATGGGGGAACTTATCGAAGACCTTGACTTTTTTTTTTTTCCGTACAAAGTTAAATTTTATCTGTGAGATAACTGAGAATTCATGTGGTACTGGAAATGGAGACTTGTTTTGTGCTCTTGTCTCTAAATTACAGCGTGGGCACACTTCCCAGCACCTTCTCCACACCCAGAGGAAAAATAACCCATGCAACACAGAAACACCACATCTGAGACACTGTGAGAAGTCACTCAGTTTAAACCCAGCCCTTCTCTTCATTGCTGCTTTTAGGAAATGTGCCTCCACACCTCCTCATCTTTATTTGAATTCAGAATTAGAGTGGGTGGGAAGGATAAAAAAAAAAAAATGGTGACAAGTCCCAAAATACCAAATCTCCGTGTGTGGTTACCTGAAAAACCCTGTTCTTATCGCTAAGCGAAAATGAGTCTGGCAGGTGGGGTGCATGTGGAGATTAGAGTAGAGCGGTGTTTCTTATCCAGGAGCACTGTAGCTCTGCTCCCACTCCCCTGCCTTCTTGCCCCTCTCACCCTTACTTATCTACTGCTAGTCCTGCTCATCAGGTTTGTGAAATGCCTACTGAGTTTTCAAACTTCTCACTTACTGTGCTCTGACCACTCACTTCGCACCCTCGTCCCTTTTCGCAGACCATAACAATGGCTTTAGACTTAGCTAACACTTTCGTTTCTCTTGTCTCCAACCCACCCTCTGCGTTCTGTGACGACAAAAATTATGTTATTCTATATTGCAGTTCCTTCCTCGGGGCACCTATTGAGAACTACAGCTATGGCAAGTGGGACTGAGGAACTGAATTTTAAATAGAATTAAATTCAAACCTGTGCAATCATTTGAATATAGAGGCCACCACACTGGACAATGCAGTTCCAAAATATGGATCTTAAGCTGATTACAGTAACAGAGGTACAGGATGGAAAATCTGAGGCAGAAGTTGGTTCTGGAAGGCAAGAGAAGCCATGAGAGTAACTGTTGTCAGCCATGAGAGGGGGAAAGGAGCGTGAATAGCTACAGTTAAAAGTAGAGAGAGCCAGGTGTGGTGGCAGCCCACCTCTTTAACTCCAACACTTGGAGGTAGAGGCAGGCATATCTCTGAATCTCTGATTTCTAGACCAGTCTGGTCTACAGAGTGGGTTCCAGGACAGCCAGAGCTACACAGAAAAACAAAAAACTTGCTTGTCTCAAAAAAAATAGCAACAAAGAAGCTGGATGAAAATGCAGAGAAAGCACACAGAAAAATAACCCTAAACTGTAAGAAAGGAATTAGCATGAACTATATGGCAAGACATTGCTTTAATTAGTTAATGCAAATCGTTTCTTCCCTTACCACATTGCTTTCAAAGCACTCATTTTTTTTGTATTGTAATGTCCAGAGCCAGTGGTATGGTGTTGAATGGCATTTGTAACCCAATCTTTTGCTTTCCACCACTAATGTCCTCTGTCCAACTACAATTATAGACCTCAGAGTCTTCCCTGCTTCTCCTAAGCAAAACCCAGTTTTAGATCTTCCAGTTATCAACCCTGTTCTCTGCTCTGATGAAAATGCCCATCTTTTGTTTCTTTCCTTTCAAATGTTCCATATTTCAAGGCCTAATAATAAAGCGCTAACCTCATCCCCATCGGGGAAACGATCGCCTTCTCCTTGATCTTAGGTGAGCCTTCTGGCATCTCTCAACCTAGTTTTCCTCATCTATAAAATGAGAGCAACAACATTTTCTCTTTGGGGGAGGATTAAGTATTGTGACTTTTAGACTCTACCACTGAGAAAGATGAGATAAAACCAGCTGCTGTTGTCCCCACCCCAACAGTTATCAATGGGATATTAGAAATGTGTCCAAACGGAACTGTCTCTCCTAGAGACTGAATTTCTTAACAGCAAGGATTGGTCTTATGCAGTGCTCTCCCTGGAGATACAATGTAGCCACTGGACAGATGCCTCTAACAAATGAGTCAATAACTAAATAGAATAAGTTCTGAGTATGCCTTTTTTTTTTTTTTTGAGATAAGGTTTCTTTGTGTAGCCTTGGCTGTCCTAGAACTAGCTCTGTGGACCAAGCTGGCTTCTTACAGAGATCCACCTGCTTCTGCCACCAGAGTGCTGCGACTAAAGCCTTGCACCACCCCTGCCCTCTAAAAGCTTTGTCTTGTAAAAATGTATTAAAAAATTTTGAGGCCAGGTGTGGTGGTGCATGGTAGGGCAGCCTGGTCTACATAATAAGTTCCAGGACAGCCAGGGCTATGTAGAGAGCCCCTGTCTGAAAAACCAACAACTGTAATGGTTAGTAATGGTGGCACACACCTTAAATCCCAGCACAGGAGGCAGAGGCAGGCAAATCTCTGTGAGTTCAAGGCCAGCCTGGTTTACAAATTGAGTTCCATGCCAACCAGGGCTGTTATACAGAGAAAACTCATCTCAAAGAAACCATAAACAAACAAACAAATAAATGAAGCATTACATTTACAGCTTAGTCTTACTTTGCAAAAATCGAAACATGTGTCTAACATGTAACCTTTAACTTGTACAGACTGAACCCTACCAGCCCACCTCCCTTTTGTCCCAGATGTTGAAGACCATCCTTAAAATGACTGATGATGCAGCCTGGTGGTGGTGGTGTACACCTTTAATCCCAGCACTCGGGAGGCAGAGGCATGTGGATTTCTGTGAGTTTGAGGCCAGCCTGGTCTACAAGAGCTAGTTCCAGGACAGGCTCCAAAGCTACAGTAAAACCTTGTCTCAAAAAACACCCCCCACCCCCCCAAAAAAGCACTGATGATGCAAAATTCACTGTTTTCAGAAGACAATAGTGGGTCACAAGACTAACTGCTATTTCTGTTTTTGTAATCAAACTTGCTCACTCTGCTCAAAAAGATGACTAAGAGAACGACAAGACATCCATGTTAAAACTAGTCCCTGCCTAAACATAGACAGAACTCATATAATCTTGTGAGGTTTGCCTTCATAATAAGCCTTGGGCTGATATGACTAGGGGCTGCCTCTTGGGAGAGCTCTCAGGTGCAGTACTGGCCCCACACTGGGTGCCAGTACCTAAATAAAAAGCCTCTTCGTATTAAAATTTATTCGTGATCAAGGTGAATCTCTGAGTGATCCCTGACTCATAACACAACAACAACAACAAAACTGGCACTTTCCAGAAAGGTTAAGCAGTCTGAGCAGCTTTTTGACTTCTGCATCCTTTAAATGCCAAAGGAATAGGAATTTCCCCAGGAATCCCATGCTAGGAAAAGGAAAAGACACCATCCAGAGGGGCCATTTGTCTCCGGAAAAGAGACTTCATACAGTTGTAACAATGTGTCATACCATACTATACTATAGCATACTATAGGATGAGACAATGAAGCCCAGAAAATGAGTTGGAGATGGAGTGCTTAGTTTTTCATATCTTTGGCTCTGGACCCAAAGACAGATTAGGGGGTTGAGCAGACCTCTATTCATTCTCTCTTCTCTCTTCTCTCTCTCTCTCTCTCTCTCTTTCTCTCTCTCTCTCTCTCTCTCTCTCTCTCTCTCTCTCTCTCTCTCTTCCACTGCTAATTTGACTTTTTTAGTTGGCTTGTTGAGGATGAGTGACCTAACCTGCCTCGGAGCACAGGTCATGATCCTTAAGTGAGATGACCCTCCTGCTGCTTGTGTGCTTGGACTACCAGCGCCAACATTTTTGCCACTTTTTTTTTTAACTTTCCTTTTCTTGCCCCCAGGGGTCCTGTGTCCCCTCCCCTTCCCTAAGGGGACAAAGCTTCCATCACTGTTACCAAGGCAACAGAGGGGATGCCTCATTCTTCAGAGCTCTGCATATCTAAGTATATCTTAGCCTTTGTCCACAGAGCTGGCTCAGTTCTTTGTAAGGGGTCTACCACTAAACCAACTACCTTCTACACAAAACTTTATTCAATATTTTACCTTATTTAAACCTGTCTACACACACACTCTCTCTCTCACACACACACGTATATATACAATTTTCTTGAATGCCCCAGGACATCAGTTCTGGAGAGCAAATGTGGACATCTCCTTTGCAAGTGCGCGCTTCCGAAGCGCGGGTCAATTTTACACCACGCACTACAGCATTCATAATGGATTTCCCTTTTAAAAGCACAGGAGACCAAAAATAAACCTGACAAAAGGGCAGCTGTAGAGTTTTAACATGTGGAAAACTCCACAGGCGACACTTACATAACGGGAAAGAAACAAGATAAATATTTCACACGGCCAGATGAACTTCCAAATGACGACGGAAAATGTGAAGAACTCAGAATACACCTTAACTCTTTAGGGGGGCGGGAGGGAGGCGGGAGGGAGGGGCCCCTGATAAAATCTGGGACCTGACTTGCAGCACTAATGAAAGCTGGCTTTTCTCCTCCTAACTAGAGTCCACGGCAGAACTCACGAACCAATTCTTAGGAGCGCTTTCCCAACGGTTTTGTCTGCTAGGTAGAAAATTTCCAAAAAAATCTCCCACCCTTGGCAAAATACTGAAAACGAAGTTTTCTACACAAGAGAAGAAGAAACGTGGCGAGACAGATCGAGCCACCCCCACCCCCAACAACACACACACACACACACACACACACACACACACACACACACAACGGTGCCCATCCCACCCGGCTGCGCTCTCCCGCCCCCATCTCCTCGGCCTGGGGACAGCTGGCAGCCCAGCGCGGGACCAGACACAAAGCGGATCAGCCTGGGGGAGGGGGCCGACCTGCGGGACTCTCCTTCCAGCACCGGCCTTCAGCCACCCCTCCCTTAGCACCCTGCGGACACCACGCCCCGCGTCCACGCCCTCTCCTCAAGCCCCCCCATCCTTAAAAAGAAGAAAAGTCTCTGACCCGGCGTCCCAGGGCCAGAAGACCTGCCACAGGGCAGCCAGTGGAGACAACCCGACCACAGAGACTGACAACGCGACAGGACCCGCCCCTCTGCCTCCACCTCTCCCAGACCTCTGCTGCTCCACCGCCCCGCCAAGTGCTGGGGGCCGGCGCGGCTGTCACGCTCCGGCAGGGGGACCCTCAGCTACGCAGTCAGCTGGCGCCCGCGTAGATGGCGAGGAGCCCCCAAGGCCTCCTGATGCTGCTGCTGCTGCACTACTTAATGGTCGCCCTGGACTGTAAGTCTCTGGGGTACCTCAACCCCGCCACCCTCCTACCCACTCTCGAGTCCCGCTATATCAACCTTCTGGGCACTTGCCGGCAAGCGGGGACGCTCAGGGTTTGGGGCTCTGCCACGGGGCACCAGGTTTTGCACTCTGGGAGCACGGAGGGTAATCCGGATACAGAAAGGCTCTGGGCGGGGAGACTGGAGTCTTGAGTGTCTTGTAAATAGTTAGTGTCAGGTTTTGCCAGTTCAAGTTGGAGAAAATTAAGGGTCCCTACTAGAAGATTCTCATCTTGTAAAGTTGGGGGAAGTTTTCAAAGACACAAGGACGTGATCAGAATGCAAAACTCATAACGTATTCAAGATGCAAAAAGCCCAAGAAAGATGGCATCCGGGATTGGCGCAGGGCACTCTTAAGTGCCAGCGGCCAAAGGGTCAGTGGCGGAGTCCCGACTGTGCAGGGAAGGTGTTTGTGAAACACTTGAGGGGCCAGGGTGAGCAAAAGTTCGAGGCTGCTGAGCCCCAGTAGCTTTTAGCCTCTCCGCCTGCAAAATCTAGTTAGAGAAGTCTTGTCTGGCCACTCTAGCCAGCTGCCGTGTCCTCAGGGGACATCCGGCCAGCAGGACGATTGTTAGAAAGGCTCAGGAGATGAATGAGCGAGCTGGCAGCTGGTGTAGCCAGGAGATGTCCCAAAGCCAGTTTCTCTGGATGCTTTTAAAATGGATTTGCACGAATAGCGGGCTCATGTGATTTGAAATTTGATTTTGTTTTCTTCGCGTTAACTTTTTAGGAAAATGGAGAAAATAAGGATACATTTTAAGCGACATGGTCTTGGTGTTGTTTATTCTTTTTTTTAAACTTTTTGTTAGTTTTTTTTTTTAATACCCCACATGTTTTCTTTTGTTTTGTTTAGTTTCCTTTGGGGAGGGGAGACGTGTTTTTGTTGACCTTCAAGTTCTAATCACGATACTCACAATAGATTATTTTGCCTGATGAATGTCTTAACGCTGCCGCACTAAGGCTTTTGCTCAAACTCCCTTAACCCCAGACCAAAGTGGAGGGAGCTCACAAAGCGGTGTGTCGATCAGAGTGCCTGCTGTCTCAGGAAAGACATGGCAAACCAGGAAGCTGAAGATTCACAGTGAAACCTTTATGCATTTTGAAATATCAACTGGTATCAAACGGAACACATGGGGGTTGAGAGGTAAGGTACTCACAATGAAAATGAGCAAGGAAGCTGGGATCTGGAGGAAGTTAACAAAACCCTGCTGGCAAAGTTGTGTGTTCCTCTGAGCTCTTAAATCTCACTTTAACAGGAGTGTGAACTGTGGTGTAAAATTGCTCATTAAAAAAACAGAAATAGTTTTTCCTCTGTTATTCCCCTTCAGTCATCAAAGTAGAAACAATAGGAGCTGTTTGAAATTGTCAAGAACTCAGAAGCAAGCAAAGGCTTACTCAATGGGCAGAATGTTCTCTTTGACTTCTTAGTTTTTTGTGGGATCTACTAATTTGAATACTTGTAAGGAATGTTTGGGAACCTTTTCCACACTATTTCCATACAGAAAGTCTGGCATTTCATGGGTGTTTCTTTCCTTTTAATGGGTTTTAAACATTTAAAAATTCAAATTAAAAAAAACTATGTTAGTATAGAAAGTTCCCATGTATCCCATATCCAGTTGCCACCATTGCTGTCCTATTATAATGTCATCTGGAACACTCTGCTCAGGTTTTTCTCATTTCCGCGGAATGTCCTTTTCTGTTCTGGTATTCCACATTGTGCTTAATAGCCATGTGTCTCTACCCTCCTCTTGGCTGAGGCAGTATCTTAGATGCCTCTTGTTTGTGCTGGTCAAGTATTCTGTTAGATTGCCTTCAACAGGTATATCTCAGACGCTTCCTTTGTGGTTAGATGAGGCTATGGGACTTTTGGAGGAAGAGCACAGAGCAAGTGTATATTCCATCCAATCATAGCCCAGGGAGCATGTTGACAGGGTCTGCCACTGTTGAGATGAACCCTCATTGCCCGGTGGAGGCAGTGTGTGTTCTCTGCCTGGTGTCCTCATTCCCATTCTTTAGAGGGAGGCCAATATTTGCAACTCACACTCAAGAAAGGAGGCTAGGGTGGTGATACCGGACTACAATCTCAGCACCCAGACACCCAGGAGGGAGGCAGGAGGCTCATTCAAGGCCATACAAGATTCAAGGCCAGCCTGTGATTGTGGGCGTGACTATCTCCAAAAACAATCCAGAAATAAGGTGGGGGTGGAGCTCAGAGTTCGTAGAAAAAGGGGTTGGAAATAAGTACTTGTAGAACATGAACATATACACACATATGAATATATCTGTGCAAGCACATGTACACACACAGGAAGGAGCGTGGATTTCACTTCCTTCAGGGTGATATTTCTTCACACATTACTTGGGATTTGTATCCATCACAGATATGTCTTCTTGAATTTCTTTACACACTTACTTAATCGCTTATTTTAATATCACCGTGAGCTTATTAACAAGTATGTAAATAATATAGATTTAGTTGATAATACAATAGCATTTGTATTAAATAACTAGAGCATCTCTTATCTGTAATTTTAAAAATATTCCTCTCAAATTTAGCGGTACTGCTCCTTTGTCCCAATCCAACCGTGTATAATTACAATATCATGCATATCAATTCTTTCTACTACCAGTCAGTTGCTACTATACTTCACAGTAATCTAAAGAACTTTTGTTATGACTTTTTAAAGCATGAATTCAACATCCTTTATTAATGTATGGATATTCACTTTTGTATTTAGTTGATGTATTAGTCCCCTATCAGCTACTGTAACGAAGCACCTAGGATAATCATATTAGAAAGATCAAAGGTTTGGTTTTTTTTTTTTTTGCCTCCCAGTTTCAGTGGTTTCAATCTATGCCTGCCCTCTGCCTTCACTGCAGTGTTGACATAACACATGGGGAACGAGAGAAACAGAGTTCTGCCCAAGAAAGAACCAAAGGAGAGGAAAGAGGAAGGTTCCTGTTTTCCAAGGCTACACCACCCATGATAGAACATCCAGGAGGCCTCATCTCCTGAAGGTTTACCACTTCACAATATTGCCACAGGCCAAGACCAAGTCTTTAGAGAATATGTGTCCAAGCTCTAAACAGTTAGACTATTTTTTTTCCTCCAGTGGGACAGAATGTCTTTGATCTTTGACTGCCATTCTTATGCCCATTACTAAACAAAGTATCTGGTTCATCTTTCATGTGAGCATGTATCTGTTGATCAGATGATACCTTGGTCCATTCAGACTGCTATGACAAAATACCATATACTGGGTTGCTTATAAACAAATATTTTCTCTCACACACAACTACAGAAGCTGGGAAGTCTACAAATAAGGCAAGAGTATTTCCAGTATTTCTGATGAGGGCCCAGTGTTTGGTTCATATGTATTCCTCATGGCATCCTCATGAGGTAGAAAGGACAGGGAAGCTCTCTGGGGACCTGTTTTATAATCTCCTTTGCAAAGGCTCCTTCTATGGCCTAATCCCTTTCCAACAGTTCCTTGTCCTAATGTCATCTGTTATGTTGGTAATCAGGTTTCCACAAATGATTCTGGTAGACACCAGCATTAAGGCCATAGATTGGGATGGAGATGAGGTTTGGGAGATGGACATTGTGTGTGTGTGTGTGTGTGTGTGTGTGTGTGTGTGTGTGTGTGTGTGTGTATACACAAAGTGTATAGAGTAAATTAATGATTATACTGTAATCATGAAGCACCAACTTCGTGTTGAGTGAGGAGAGAGAGTGTCAAGTGTTTCTGTAAAGTGATAGCTGTTATTTCTAAACACAGGAGAAATGGAATGGGTGTTTGGCATTGGAAATGGGGCTCTTGTGGGTATTGGGATCTCTTGGAGAGCACTTCCAGCCTCTTAACAGTCTGAGTGCAGCTGAGTCTTCAGCTGTGTACTGGAACCCTACCCAGCCACTAGGCCTGAGTCTGCAGTCTGTCCTAAAGTGAGTGATCAGGGCTATGGTAAGAAAGAGAGGTCTGGATATGTCGTAGACTCCAGGGGACCAGTGACAGGAAACTTCTGCCAGCTGTAAACATTGTTGAGAACGAAACATCATGATGGACTGGGTGAAGATAATGGTTTGAAACTGGTACAGTTTCAATTACCTAAAGAACATAAAAGCCAAAATGGGAATTTGCTGGTGGACCTGACTACCATTTAAAAACTCTGTCGGATAATGCATTTCAAAAAGTCTCAAACAAAAGCTTCAGCCTTACAGAGAACATTGAGTTTTCCTTGGCCAAGAACGCTATTTATCCTTTCATCTGTGCATAGGGAATGGAGCCCACGAGAGAGTGTGGGTGTGGACCACCCACAACTTCCTTTGTGTTGGATTTTCCCCTAGGGACTTGTCAGTGGGCAATAGGCAAGAACTGACATCTCCCCCCCCCCCAAATCAAAGACCACCAGAGTTCTGTTCAGGTTGTCATATCAGATACCTCTGTTTGTGTGTGTGTCTGTCTATATATCTGTCTGTCTGTCTCATCACATGGTGTCAGTGGTAAATTTCTGAGCCCATTCTTCTGAACTTGTAGAGGAAGGTGAGGGTGAATTTAGAGAAGAGGAATTATGGCTGGGTCAAGTGTTTCCTTTGGGAAAGCTAGGAAAGGAAGTCTTAAAACTGAGCACTGCTTTCTCCGAAGGCCTTGCTGTGTTCAAGTAGAGGACTCAGAAGAATAACCCAAATGATGCGTAGTCTATTGCTGTGCAAACAATTGGCCATGCCGGTGCAACACCAATTCATTATGTTAATGCTCTGGAAGTCTGAAATAGACCACACTGGGATAAAACCAAGGTGTCAACCAACATAAAAGCAAGGTATCAACCAGCAAGAATCCTTCTGGGGGTCCCAGTGGAGAACCTGTTTCTCAGCCTTGTCCAGCTTGTAATGCAAGATAGGACCCATCCCTCTACCTTCAAAACCAGCAATGCCAAGCTGCTCTGTCTCTGTGA